TTTTTTTTTTTCTTTTAATATAAGGTCATGCTTTTGTATCCTGTTTATGTCATTGTTGTAAGCCAAAAGTATTAATAAACATATTTAAAGATAATGCGTGGTATAACTTATATTTTATTTAAAATTTCGATCAAAATTTATTCATGAATCAAAAAAAAAAAGTAACACATGATTTAATTATTTTTGTAAAAAGTTATATCCTTGTATGGTGGATAGTTGCCGCTAGTAAGTTTTAAAGGAATCGTTTGATATTTCTATATTGTTCTAATACTTGCATTTAAATATCATTAATTAGGTATTTATACCACATATATGGTAGTATATGACCAGGACGAAATCCACAAGATTCCATTCTACTGTCCAACATCATACGACTACCAATCTAAACTTATACAAGTAGCATGTAAAATAAGATTTTTAGACATGATTTGTATGTGGTTATATGTTTTATTTGGTGTCCTATGGTGTGGTGCTGGTATTTTCGGTTATTTGCCGAGAAAAGAGGATATGAAATGGTGGAATGAATGGTTTGGTGACGAAGAAAATCAGAAAAGAGAGTTTACAACCAATCAAACAGATATGGTAGAATGGGTACAATCAACGAGAAGAGAATCCTTTGTGAGATAAAATTATTAAATTGAACATTTAAAATAAACATTTAAAATATAAAATAACGCGTAAAAGTATTTTTGCGAAAGCTATTAGAAGTTCCAGAGTTAATTACATATTTTTAACTTATCTACGTACAAAGATGATACCACTGCATTAAGATGTGTATAATGTTAAAGCTGCTCGGCGCCCCAAGTTTTTCTCAAATTAGCGTTATTTAATTGTTTACGTCATGTTTCGTCAAACTTATGCGACTAAATGTCGATACTGTAAAAGAACATGCACCTTTTCAGATGCTCAATAAATATTTTATTGGATCTATCCAATTGTTAGTTTTTTTTTAAATCTATAACTATTACTGATCTAGTACATATTTCGGAAAACATTAGCATGTGAAAATTCAAACTTTAATTTTTGTATAAACCTAGTTTCGGATAGTCTCGGTCTCACAGAACGAAACGTAATAGATTTAAAAAAAGCAATTTAACACGAAATGTTTAATATAAGCATTTTTTCTTGTTCGATGAAATTCTTAAAACCTAAAGTATGTTCTTAACAAGTAATTTATTATCGTTTGCACAACTACATTACTGTTTTTGTTTTCACGAAAATTCTTATGATAAAGTTTGTGGCTTCAAGAGGCTTTACTCACTTTTTTTATATCATTTGTTTTTCCATTACAAAAAAACAAAGCGATTATTCTCATTGGTTTTCTAGAAGAAATGACGCCAGAACTTCCTAATGAATTAATTCTCGAAATACTTAGTGTTCTATTTCGAGATACTAGGTATGAAATCAAAGTTTGTCACGAGATCTAATATGTATATATAGTTATCTTTAAAATTTATTTTTATCGGCAAAAAAAATAGAGATTTTAAACAATTAATCAAGCTGCGAATGATAAATAAACAGTGGAATTCAATTATTCCGGTTGTTATTAATGATAAATTACAACGTAATCATGCTGATAAATATACTGTTGAAGTATTCTTTTAATTCTTTTTTTTTTTTTTTTAAAAAAAAAAAAAAATTTAAAAGATCTTTAAAACATCCATTCATTCACGTTATTACTTTTGAACAGGTTTCGTGGGGAAATCACAAGTGGTCAGAATACGTCCTTAAACAGCTACGAGTAAAACCACCCATATTACCAATCTATTTACCTTCACAAAACATTGTTTACTTCAATTTCGAACTTGCGCCGATATCTTTTAATGTTAGAGATATTAAAGAGTTTAAATTTTATTTATTTTGGAATTATCAACCTGTTGATAAACACTATCCTGTTAAGGTCCAAGAAACCGGAATGAGAAAGTCTGAAATAAGGACCATTAATGATAATAAGAATGAACTGTGCATTAAATGCGAAGATGGTCAAATTAGTTTAGTTGATTGGAGAATTAATGCATGTTCTATCTTTGAAGTTTTCGAGCTTGTTATTTAATTAGAATGATGATTTTCTGTACGTATTATGTGTAATTCTGAAAAGTATATTAAATTTTTGATTTCGTAATGAACAAAAAAAGTTAGTTACACGGTATATATATTATATATACGATATTTGATACGTATATAATTTATATTAATATATCGATATTATATATATATATAATTAGGGTAGCTGCGCAGCGTGTGACGCGGCGCAAGACCAGCACGATCACTTGGCAAAGTTCAAAAGCATGTTCAT